TTGATTTTAAGAAAATGATTTTTTTTCCTGCCTTTACCCTTGAATTGATATTCACAGTGATAGAAATAACTTGACTACATATGAAAATTCTAACCAGTACCCTTAGGACATTAGTTAAGGAATCAAAAGTAAAAAATTATTATTGAAAAGTGTATCTGCATATTATCTCACATAACTTTATTGTAATTTTTAATGAAAATTTTTTCCATATTGATTCTTTAACTAATGTCCTTAGGACACCAGTTAGCAAAATCCTTTCAAAAAAAAATAAAAATTCAACCAAATAATTTTTTTTTTCCTTATAATTTATGCTATTTAAAACTCAGCATATTCAGAGTAAACCCACAATTTCATCCTTAAAGTATTATTCTCTCTCTTGAATAGTCCTTAAAGTAAGAAAATTATATTAGTAATCCTTCGAGTATTTGAAATCATAGTCCTTCAAGTATTGAAAAATCCATCAAAATAGTTCCAGAATGTTAATGAAATATACCAACTCAGAGGCTAAACTGATGGATATTGTGATTGCTTACATAATTTTATTACTTGAGGAACTAAATAGATAGAGAGTAATACTTGGGTGACTAAATTGATGGTATATTAACCGACATTTAAAGCTCAGAAGAGTCAAAAACACAAATTTAATAGCATGGAGGAGATTTAGGCAAAAGAAAAAGTATGCAATAGTAAAAAAGAAAAAATAATGTTTCAGAGGTTGAAAATGTGTTAGGACTTGGGACCAATTATGTTGGACGGAGTAGAAAGGACTCAGGTTTTAACTACATGGTTTTGGTTTCTATCCATAATTCATGTATATGGGGAAAAAATTGCTGACTTGCTGAGAAGAGTCTCTACTTTATTCTGGGAAATCAGTCTCTGAACTACCAGGTGGGAAGATATTCTGAGAAACCCAAAATATGTGCGTCTGTACCCATCCAAATTATGAGATTCGTATTTAGAAGGTGGCAAATACGAAAGTAGTTAATTATGAGATAGCATCACAGTTAAATAGGGAGAGGAGCTGATTCATTCTTTCAGGAATAAGAGCTGTAAAGGGAAATTTACCTCATTATTATCGATCCAAACTGAGTGAGCTGCTAAGAGATTGTTCCGAAGGAAATGTATCTTGTCCAAGTATGTAACAGTTCCGTGGTCTACTTTGTGAGCATCGATGACTAGTTGGTTCTCATAGGGTATCTCTGCAACGTGCATGTGTATTCCAGTTTTGAGTTGTGTTGCAGCATCTCTTGTTTGGATAAGCAAGTGAGGAGTAGAGTTCATGATTTGCCTAATTCCGAACCAGATTCTGATGCGGCCTTGGGCTGTATTATGGTACTTGTGATAATTATCCTTTTGCGACTGGATGCAATGGTGAGTAGTGCGAGTGGCCCAGGATGGTGGCAAACCGGGGCCAAAGTCCATGGTTGACTCGGTTAAACAAGCTCGCAAACCCAGTAAGCTGACTGCTCTAGCCATCCCAGAAACGTGTTGGCCACCGGCTTCCGCAAAACAGGTTACCTGAAACGAAATCAATCCCAATTGGCAATTGAGCCCACCCTAAATGCCTGGAGAGCTACAAATTAAATTAGAGTACATACCCCAGAGTGAATGAGTTCGATCCCGCAAAGCAAGGTAGAGAGGTAAGAATCGTTTTCTGTCATGCTGGATTCGTATGGCCAAATGCGGTGATGCAACCAGGTCATCAAGTCAACGTCATCGGCTATGCCTCTCGCCAGTTGTTGGGAACTATGAACGTGGCTGTTAATGAATCCAGGGAGTAAGATATGGCCTGTGAGATCAAGAATGTGGTCGGCGACATGAGAAAAGTGAGCCAGAATATGAGCAGATTCTCCAATAGCTTTGATTTTATCATCTTCAATCACGATGCCCCCATCCCTAAACACCCGCAGCTCCTTGTCCATCGTTATAATCATACCACCGTGCAGCACACTCACCACCTTCCGCTCCATCATCCACTCTCTCTCGGTCTCTCCTACTCCTAATATTCTTACTCCATTTGATCCCTCCCAATTTAAACTCTCACAGTCTCACACCTTCCTTTCTACCCGTACTATGGCTCCTTTATAGGGGTGTGGGAAAAACTGAACTCAACTGAACTGGTGGTGAACTGAACTGAACTGTACTATAAAAAACTGAACTGAACTGTTTAAAAAAAAAATTGAACTGATCTGAACTGTTGGAAAGTTAACTGTAATGAACTACAAAGCTGAACTGAATTATAAAAATTGAACTATTTTTATAAAAGGATAAAAATTAAATGTGTCTAAAATGTTATGTCTTAATAGATTAACTCGATAGTCTAATAACTAAAACTTTAGAAAAAAAAGTGATAAAAAAAATGGAATCAATTTTGTCAAACCTAACGAATCAATTGAGTTATGTTGGACTACTTATTTTTAGGCTTAAAAAATTCACTGAGTTTTTTTGACTTAATTTTATTTTTTTTTTCTTTGAAAAATTTAAATAAAATGGAAAATAAAGTAAAGTTGACAAATGTGTCCTATTTGATAGATCAATGAGTCAAAATTGTTCAATTCAAAATACCATAATAGTTCAGTACAATTTAAATTGCAGTTCAGTTCAAGTTTGTATAGTATAGTTCAGTTCAGTTCAGTGACACAAAAAAATAGTTCAGTTCAGTTCGTCTGAACTAATATTTAGTTTAGTTCAGTTCATGAAAACTACTTTTAAGTTCAGTATAGTTTTTATAAGTTCAGTTCAGTTCAATTTATTTTGCCCCTCCATCGTATTTTCAAAGATTATTTTAGTATAAAAATGCCCCGTAAATTTTTTAAAATACTTGTAAAATTGTAATGATTTTTAAGTCTTTTATAATTAAGATTTTTTAATATGAAATTTTAAAGGATACTATATATTTTTTAAAAATAAAAAAATTAACAAAAAATATTAATATAAATAATAAAGTTTGAATAAAAATAAAATAAAATAAATACGATTTTTTCAATTTTTCAATAAATAATTGATTATAATTTTATGTCCTTTTAGATAATATAGATTAATATATAAGTAAGTACATAGTCAAGTATTTTATAGTTTATCGTGATAAAATTTATTAATCTTGAAAATTTTTTAAAAAGTCAATCATATCTAAATTGTTACAAGTCAAATATGTTTAACTATGAAGTTTTTATTTTATTTTATATAGATTACTGAAAAATATACGTATCTTATTGATATAAGTTGTATAATAAATTAATTATTTTAAATCATTTTTAACTATATAATCTCACATTTATAAAAATCTCTGAATCTCTCTCATTTCAATGTGTTTGAACAATACATTCTACGGCTGACATGCTAAAATACTAGTTCACTAGAAATTTTAAAAATTTGAGTGATGTTGTTGGATGAATAAATCATAAGTAAATTTATAAAAAAAATTCACAAAATCCATTATTCAAAACAATTCATTAAAATAAATGTCTATGATTTTAAATATCAACTATTTTTTTTAAGTGAAAAAAAAATCTTAGACAAATTACTATTCTTTATTGTTTTTTTTTCTAATTACTTTATCGAAATATATATTTCTTTCGTTAAAGTAAACAATAGCCATACGTTTTACTACAATTTTTATATTTTCTTTAATTAATGGTTATAATAATTTTAATATGATTGTTTTTTTAACATTGTCTTTCAACTCAAGTAATATTTTTTTTATCTAACCAAATTAATTTTTTTAATGTAATTAAACTATTCAAATTAATTTACTTAAACATGCAAGGGCAATTCACTTCTGTACTAATACAAAGATAAATATAAATAACTCTAAACAACTTGTCCACGTCTTATTGAAATTTAAATATCACCAGTTTAGTCTTTAATTATAAAGATAAACCACCACATCCAAGCATTAGCCAGATGGAAGGTAGAACTTATATGTCTCCATCTCTCCACCCTAAGACATAATACTTCTTTAATATAATATAAAAGTTAGAATTTGAAAATTTTAAATGGATGAAAAATATTAAAAATCTGTTCTTAAAACAATCAAAACATACTTGCTGGCAATTTGTTTACATGATCAATATCGGATGCTTCTTTCAAACATATTTATACATTTGTATGTTAGCTTTTATCATTTTAACTAAGAAAAATAAAAACAACAATAACAACAACAACAAAAAAATTAAGAAAATAACAAAATAATAAGGAAAGTGTAAAGAGTGAGTTAAATAATTAACAAATTGGTAAGATATAAAAGTTGGTAAAAAAAAGTATCTTAAATTTTATCACTTCAGTATTTTTTCCCTTAAAAACTAATAAAATGAAAATATGAAGTTATTTTGAAATTTTATTGTCGAAGTATGAAGATGAAAAACTATTAGAGCTTTGTATTATTGGTAAAGATAAAAAGATGGGTATTCTTCAACTATTGTAAATGGTGTTTCATATGTGGACATGAATTTGTTAAACAACTTTAACTAAACAAAAATTGGACGTCAAACTTTGAACATAATTATTTATAATTTAATTGTGTAGAGTAAAAGTAAAAGTGAAATTATACAAGAATGAAACTAAAAGTAAGAATGTGACATTAATTAAGAAGGGAGATAATGGATATGCATTAGCCATAAAGATCGGAATACCTTCCCATTTAGGTCAATGGTCAAGACACCACGAGTTAGTTCCACCAAAATAGTTGGAAAGTAAAATGAAAAATAGAAAAGGAAAATAGACGAAGGTAGAGAGGCAAATTAAGAAGATCAAATCAACAATCTAACTAGCAATTGGGGACAGGATGCGCCTCTACCCTTTCAAATTTCAATTTGGTGCTTAGATTTTGATTTGGAGAGAGAATTAGTGAAATGAAGAAAATGAAAAAGGAATTGCATTGTTCGTATACATCTCACTGCGAATGTGGTGTTTTTCTTGAGCCTATAGCCCAAACCTCATATTTGATTGACACTATAAAGAAGATAGTCATAGGCATAAATTAATGTGAAGAAGGGATAGACATGTCATCAAGAAAAAGTGATGTTGGGATAATGGATGGTGAAAAAGAAGAGCTGATGCAAGTTGTGGAGGATGTGGATGCTTTTCTCCTTATCATAGGTGCTAATGGGGGGAAAGATGTTCCAGATTGTGTTCGTGTGCTACCCAAATTGTTTGAGGATATGTTGGATAGCTACAATTGTGGGAGAACCAAGTTTGGGGAGGATGCAACATATGACAACTCCTTCTTAGATGTTGTGAATCGCATGTACAAGCTCTCAACTAGTTGTAGTTGTAGTAATACCTTGGACCAAACTAGCTCCGTCTTAGAAAAAGCAATGTCCCTATTAGAGAAAGATCTTTGTTCTCTTTTGGAGGAACCCAAAACACCCAATAAATCATTCTCTTTTGGTTCCCGTTCTGATCTAAGCGTCATTTTTGAGATTGACTCTCCTGAGCCACCACAACATGAACAAGATCACTATCATCAAGACTTCCTTACTCATTTATCTACACATAAGATTTCCATTTTGAACAAGATTGCCACTACAATGATTGTTGTTGGCTATGAAACAGAGTGTTGCATTGCTTTCGCCAATTTCAGGCGAAGTGCTTTCAAGACTGCTTTACAAAGACTTGGATACAGGAGCATGAGAATGGAAGATGTGTGCAAAATGTCATGGGAAACACTAGAAAGAGAAATTACAACATGGAATCAAGTGGTTCGACATTGCACCACCATGCTTTTCAACGCTGAACGAAGACTTTATGACTCCATCTTCCCCAATCAACCCTTTATATCACAGAGCTTATTTATTGATCTTGCACGACATGTCATCATTCATTTACTCAACTTTGCACAAGGCGTCGTTCTAACGAAATGGTCGACAGAAAAACTATTCAAATTCCTAGATATGTACGAGACCTTGAGAGAAGACATTATTGGGGATTCTTGTCTAGAGCCGGGTGCAAGTGAGGTAGCATATGAGATAGTCATTGCAAAAGATAGGGTAATAAAGGCTATTGTGGCCATGTTTTGTGATTTGAAAAACTCCATAAAAAATGATAATGAAAGGATTCCTGTCCCTAATGGTGCAGTTCACCCTTTGACTCGTTATGTTATGAACTATCTTAAATATGCATGTGAGTACAAAGATACATTGGAGCAAGTGTTTGAACAAGGCCAAAGTGTAAACTTTACAAGGATTGATATTTATAATGATAAATCCATCGAAGAAGTGGAAGATGTAGGGACACCTAAGGATTCACCTTTTGCAATTCAATTGATGTCCATCATGGACCTTTTGGATGCAAATGTGGAAAGGAAGTCAAATTTGTATAGGGATCTTGCTTTGCGCTACATTTTTCTAATGAACAATGGGAGATACATAGTGCAGAAAGTCAAAGGATGTAGTGAGCTGCATGATATGATGGGTGACAATTGGTGTAGAAAGAGGCAATCGGGTTTAAGGTTGTACCATAAGTGTTATCAGAGGGAAACTTGGAGTAAGGTGTTGCAATGCCTTAAGCCAGAGGGCTTGCTGGGGACTGGGAACAAAGTGTCCAAACAACTTGTGAAGGAAAGGTTTAAGTGTTTCAATAGCATGTTTGAAGAGATACATAAGACCCAAAGTACTTGGATGGTGGTTGATGAGCAACTTCAGTCTGAACTCAGGGTTTCAATATCATCTTTGGTGATTCCAGCTTACCGGTCCTTTGTTGGAAGATTCAAACAACATCTAGAATCAAGTAGACATATTGACAAGTATATCAAATATCACCCCGAAGATATTGAGCTTTTGGTTGATGATTTTTTTGATGGTAATGTTGTGTCCATGACTCGAAAGAGGACGTGATTAATCAAGATTTGTTTATACAATAGTTTCTTTCCTTTTTACATTTCATTTATATCTTCATTTTACAGTCAAAATATGTATTTCTTTATGTAAACATTAAGCATGTAATTAAAAATGCATATTCTTACTTTGTTTCAATCCCATCTATCTAAAATTATAGTAAAATTGACAATACATTAGTGTTAATATATTATATTTATCCAATTTAATACATAGTTAACTTATATAACATATTATGAACTATAGATATCTCTGGGAGCTTATTTAATACAAAAATAACCTTTGGGGGTGCATTTGATTAAAATTTTAAAATATTTTTTTTTTGTTATAAAAAATAGTAATGATATATGTATAGTAATTCATACAACAACTTGCAGAATATATTTTTTTTATGTCTATGTCTCTTTATTGTTAATATATATAATAAATAAAATGAAGACAAAAATAATGTACAATTTGTTTTACAAATATCATTTTCCTAAAAATCTTATAGAATTTAATTAAGATTTTTTTAATATAAATAAGTGTTATAATATTCAATCAAACAAGTTTTGATTTTATTGAAGGTGAACTTTTCACAGAAGAGTCAACAATATATAAGGTAAAACTAAATTGTAAAAGAAAACGTGTAAGGGTTATAGTAAAAGGAAAAAAGCAAAAAAGAAGATAAATATATATACTTGTCGTAACTATTCTAATCAATTTTTTTTTAGTCCATTGATACATCTCATGAATCCAAAGAAAATACTCTCCCATGTTTCGTTCAAACCATGCAATAAAAAGTGAAAGAAAAAAAATCGTATGAAAACAACAAATATTTAAAAATAGACATATGATTTTCTTGTTATTTGTCATCGAAAGTGAGCCTTTAGTAGAAGAATTAACGACATAAAAAAAATTGCAGAATAAAACGTGCAAGGATTGCAGTCGAGTAAAAAAAAAATATAATTACCTTAATTTAAAATAATATTAATAATATTGATCATCTTAATTAAAATAACTTGACATTTAAGCCATCACCGACTCTCCAAGCAATCTCAAGTTTCACATACTTCCAAGCATCACACATACCTCTCCAACAATTTGGTACATTAGACCTCTTCCGAAAATTAGGAATAAGGCCTTCACCGCAATTATACTTTACTCTAATCACTTGAATCCAAAGTTTCTCTGGTTTAAACTCAAGTTCTATATCAATTAGGGTTGATCGATTAATTTGGGATAGTTTTTAAAATTTAATGTAAATGTGATTATTTTAAAACTATTTATATTTTGGAACTTTTTTGTACAGTGTTGTTATGGTCTATAACGACATACGTGCCACGTGTATTTTTATTTATTTTTTAAATGTGAACGACTTAATTTTAGCGGGTAAAAGTCGCTACAGGCTGTAGCAATTTCTATAAAGTCTCTATGGGCTACATCCCCATTTTAAAAATATAATAAATTTATTTTAATTTTTTTATATATTAAATTTATTTTCTTTCATTGGATTTGTTAATTTTAGTTTATATCATTTAAATATTTTTTTAAACCATTTTTTCTTCAGTATATTTTTTAATTATTATTTTATATATTTTAAATATTTAACAAAGAAGGCACTATGGCCTATAGCGACCCAATATTGCTATAGACTATAGCGACTTCTATTTTTTATTTTTTTTGTTTTAAATTATTTACTTATTTTCTTAATTTATTATTTTATTTTATATTATGAACTCAACGCATCTAATTTTTTTTATCATAAAAATAAGCAAGAAATGAAAAAAAAAATCATTATAACTGTAAAGGGACTTAGTTTCAAGCGTTATTTTTTCTAATTTTAAGCAATGTTTTGTTAATAATAATTACACTGATATATAAATTAAAAACCTAGTGCGTATCAACTGTTAACCCATTACTAAGCATAGCATTTGTCCGTATAAATTGGCATAACGAAATTGAAAATTGAAGCCATACATGTGAACATGGTACATGCCAAGTTCTAGTTACATGACTTGATTTCGGATAAATTGCGATTTTCAAAACCAAATTTTCTGCGCAGAAAGACTTCTCAAACATGAAGGAGGCGCTATGGCGACAAAATGTCCTTATAGCCCATAGCAACATGCTTTATTTATTTATTTATTTATTTATTTATTTTATTATATTATCAATTTATTTCAAATATTAATTTTATATTTCTGTTTTTTCAATTTTTTTCATTCAAATCCTTCATTTATATATTCATTTTAATTTACATATTTTAAAATTTTTTTAAACATTTTTTCCCTTCAGTTTATTAATTATTTTATTTTTAATATATTTTTCATATTTTTATTTTTTATGTTATTTCCATTTATATAAATAAATTTTGTCCTTAAATTTTTTTTTCATTTTTTATTATACACTATACACAATTTTTAAATAAAATATATCTGTTAAAAATTATTATATACTCAACATTTTAGTAAATTATTTTACAAAAATTTATTTAATTTCAGTAAATTATTTATTTAATTTTCTTTTATTCTTATTTATATTATCAATTTTTTTTCAAATTATAATTTTAAATTTATGTTTTATTCCATTTTTTAAAAATATTTTAAAATTTATTTTTTTATTATATTTGTTACAAATTATTTTATAAAAAAATATTTAATAAGTAGCGCTATAGGCCATAGCGACCACCTTTTTAAATTTATTTTTTATTTTTTATTTTCTTTTATTTCATTTTATATTATCAATTTTTTCATATTTTATTTTTAAATTTATATTTTATTCGTTTAATAATTTTAAATATTTTTAGTTTTATTTATTTTTTAATTATATTTGTTAAAAATTATTTTATAAAAAAATATTTAATGGATGTCGCTATAGACTACAACGACTTCATTAAAGCCATTTTGGGTCACTGTCAGCTGTAGTGACTTTCATAATATGACTTTTATGACTTTTTAAAATTAAAAAAATTGCACGTGGCACGTATGTCACTATGGGTCATAGCGACGCTCTACAAAAGAGCCCCAAAGGTGTAAATAGTTTCAAAATAGTCTCATTTACGTAAATAATTTTAAAAATTACCCCGAATTGGTCAATCAACCCATCAACTAGAGATTAGGCAATTAAATAATATATAAGTGAAAAGCAACCCTCATCTTACAAGACAATTTTGTAGGGTTGAGTTAGACTCAAATCCACTATTCTAAGATAATATCAAAACTATCTTAGATTCTTAAAAATGGGTCACCCACTATTCATTGATACATGTACCATGGGCATGAGGGAGTGTATTCGAGTCCTGCCATTAAAAAAATGTCACCTACCATTCATTGATACATGCACCATGGACATGAGAAAGTATATTTAAGTCCTGTCAATCCTAGATCATTAAACCAAGACATCCTTCCTCCTTAAATTCACAAGTAACAGACAAACAATAACATGAACTTCTCTATGTAACTGATGATCTTCCCATAGAAAACTTCTACATTTCTTGTATATAACATCACAAAATTTTCTAATATGATATTAATGTGTGTTGTAAATTACATTTTATTCTATAGTATTGTATTATTTTTAAATTTTTATTTTTATACTTACACAATCTCTATCTTTTAGTTTTCACAATGATGAAGACTTATTTTATTGTATCATTTTAATAACTTTATATCAAACATTTGGATTCTTCTGTCAGTACTATGTGAACAATTATCATGCATTGCTGTCAAAAAGTAACAAAAGTAAATTTTGACGGCAATGCAACAAAAATATTATGTGATCTAAAATATGATGTAAAAGTATTAAAACAATTAGTAAGTCTTTATTATTATAAGGAGCATTGATACAAATTGTTATTCACAAATTACTTTAAAAATCTTTGCTTTTTTTTAATAAAATTTAGGAGATATAAGAAAATTAAAAATAGGCAAAATTTGAAAAAAGAAATAAAAGAAGATAAATATTGACGGAAAAAAAAAAAAAAGTGGAGAAGGAAAAAATAGAAAGATGAATGATAACGACGTTAATAAATACTCATATAT